GCAGATCATCCTTTCCGAGTATCTGTACTCGTACAGCATCAAACTCCACATTCAATCCTGCGAGAAAGTCATAGATTCGCCATTTTTCAACAAATCTTTTAAGAAGGGTTGCATCCTCACTACACTTCATTTGAATGCACTGGTAATGGTCCATCTCTTGCCAAAGAGATTTCAAAAGATTGGAGTATTCTGTGATTGACCGATTTCCCTGCTTAGTGGCTGAGATTTTGGTCTTAATTTCATAAATCTGGGCAGCATCATTGACTTTTGAGTATGTTTCTCTTACGGCATCCCATATCTCCTTTGCCGTACTCAAATACATGCATGTGTCACTTATTTCGAGCAGCATAGAGTTCCATAACCAGGACATAACAAGTGAGTCCTATTCATCCCAAGCATCAAACTTAGGGTCTCCCTATTTAGGCCCATTACCGAGCAAATGACTCAGTTTGCCTCTTCCCTTAAAAAACGTGCGAACCAATTGAGACCACTTAAGATAATTTTTTCCATTTAATCTATAAGCAGCCTGAATATTCTGCAGGTCCCCTGTAGAAGAGTTAATGTTGCTCTCGGTCGAGGAAATCCCAGAAGACTCAGTCGTTTTGCTGGTTGCAGATGCATCAATCATGGTGGTTGGATAAATAGGTCACGTTTTAGAGGGTGATAGCATAAACGAAAGAATGAAGGGTTGGTCTTTTAATAAAAGGTTCAAGTGAATCAGCGAGCAGTAAAAAAGCTGAGGAATAACGCTGAAAAATGCTGATTGAACAGGCTGACAGAAGCAGAGAAAAACAGGAAGAAACAACCCAGAAAAAGAGCCTAGGGCTCTGATACCATGTAGAAATATCAATTAGGAGTAAAAGTAATTCATTCACTCGTGAGAATAGATTACAAAGAGAGGCTGAGATATATACATGGCTGCAGCCCAAAGAATAGGAATAAAATCTCTAAAAAATAGGAAACTATCAAAACAGAATATCCTCCTAACCGAATCTCCTAGAAATCAGGAAATCACACATTATCCTATATAATCATACGGTTTCCTAATAGGGCTAGATATTTCGACATAAACCAATCCCTTTACCCAGATTTTCCCAGTACCCAAACACAAAGAAAAGATCTCTCACTACACCACAGTTTCTCTCGCTTATTTCTCTCACTAGAAATCTCTCTCTGATAATCTCAAAAGTCTCTCTGTTCTGAACTGTAGAAGAAGAAGAAGACTTGTTGATATTCTCGAATCATCTCCACCGACACTAGCCTCTCCACGTATCATTTGTTGAGTGGTGCATCCAAAAAACAACGCTGCGTTTTACTCAGTGGCTAAACGACCAAACGACAGTTAACATATATATATATATATAACCAATTCTTCATGTCATTTTTCAGGAATTACTCCTCACACCATTCCACCTTAATTTATGAAAGAGGACAATGTCCAATAACCCTGAGCTTCTCGCAAAGTTCATTGCCCTGACTTGATATAATCAAGTCTTGCCAATGCTCAACAAGCCCATGCACTTCTGGAACTTGCTGGCAGTGACAACTTTAGTAGCCATATTTGATGGATTTTCCTCTGTGTTGGTCTTCTCAAGTTCAATTGACCCTTCAACCTTTTCCCTTATGAAGTGGTGTCGTACATCAATGTTATTTGTCTTTTCATGGTACACTAGATTCTTGCAGAGGTGAATTGCTGACTGACTATCTGAGTAAATCACAACAACTTCTTTCAAGACTTTCAGCTCTTTTAACAGACCTTGAAAGTTGATGCAGCAAACTTAAGCTGATCCACCTTGCATTTGCCTAGAAGCCCTTGTTTACTGAGTTCTCTTAGCCCCCTCTCACTAACATGTCCAAGATGTTTATGCCACAGATCAGTCTCTGAGTTCTCTTTAATCACTGACTGGTTGAACCTATTACTACATGACCTAGTACATACAACCCCTGATGTTTTCTTCCTTTAAGAACCACTAGAGATCCCTTTAGAACCTTTAAGATTCCACCTTCTACCTTGTAAGAATATCCAAAATCATCTAGTGCCCCGAGAGAGATAAGATTCCTCCTAAGCTCCGGGATATGTTTGACATTCTTGAGCACACATTGTGTTACATTTGCCAGTTTCGCCACAACCGATCCAACTCCAACCACTGAATAAGAATGGTTGTTTCCCATCAAGACCCTGCCGCCATTACAGCCTTCATACTCAGTAAACCACTCTTTCTTAAGACACATATGATATGTGCACCTAGAATCCAATATCTATTCTGTCTCATTTTGGCTGACTCAAACAGCCAACATTTCAGAGCTTTCATACCTTGAATCTTGGCTTGCAACTGCAGCATCACCTTCACCTGCCTTCTTTTCAACCAGCTTTCTTTTCCATTCTTTACAGAACCTCTTGATAAAGCCCGGCTTATTACAGTGATAGCATTTCCTCTGACCATTTCTTGATTTTGATATGGAGTTCTGTCTATTAACAGGCTTGCTCTGATCTCTCTTTTGCGGTCTGCCTCCAGAGAAAAGCCCTTCATCTCCATGATTGTCATTCTTGGAGGACATTTCAAATTTAAGTTCTAACTCTCTAGACCTTAAAGCTGACAGAACATCCTCTAAAGTAAGACTTTCCCTTGCATACTTGATGGCATTTTCAACATCTTTAAACGTTTCTGGAAGGGAGATTAACAGTAAAATCGCATGGTTTTCTTCTTCTATATTTTCTCCAATGTTTGGCCAAATCAATAACTATTTTATTGAAATCATTTGAATTCTTCTCAAGAGATTTTGAAGTATCCATCCTAAAATTGAAAAGGCTTTCTTTAAGGTAAATTTTGTTGGTGAGTGATTTGGTCATGAACAATTGTTCAAGTTTCATAAATACCTTTGCAGCAGTATTTTCTTCATTTACTTGTCTGAGAACATTATCAGCAAGATAGAGGATGATCATTGAGTTGGCGATTTCTTGCATCTCCTCCTTTTCTACGTCAGTACCAGAAAAATCCTTCATATCCCTGAGAGCTTTAGCAACTTTCTGTTGAACTAAAATTGCTCTCATTTTCTTTCTCCATAAATCGAAATCACCAGAGCCATCGAACTTCTCCAGTTTGAACTTCATCAAAACCATGGCTGACTAGAACATTCGGTGACTTCTTCAGAATTCTTGATCCTTGATCTTCGAGCCCCCTTTGATTTATGCCTCGAACCAAAGCTATGATACCACTGTTAGAAAGATCCTACCACAGACTCAAAGATTTAAGCAAGAATCAATCAAAGAAAGAACACAGAATATGTTTCACCAAGGTTCGGATTCAAAGAATCCTACGTCCCCGTTGGGCTCACTTGCGAGAAACCCTTTCCACTAGATAAGAATTGATTACACCCTCAATCCTCACCACACACAAAGATTACAAGAAAGCAACCCATAAAAACTGTACAGAGAAGACCAACCACTAACGTGTTTCTCAGGAAAAATACCCAGTGAGTAAACCAATCTCTTTACCCAGATTTTTCGAGTACCCAAACACAAGGAACAAATCTCTCACTTCACCACAGTTTCTCTCACTAGAACTCTCTCTCTGATAATCTCAAAAGTCTCTCTCTATTTTGAACTGTAGAAGAAGACTTGTTGATATTCTCGAATCATCTCCGCCGACACTAGCCTCTCCACGTGTCATTTTTTGAGTGGCGCATCTAAAAAACAACGCTGCGTTTTACTCAGTGGCTAAACGACCAAACGACAACTAACATATATATATATAACCAATTCTTCATGTCGTTTTTCAAGAGTTACTCCTCACAATATTCCAAACGCGCCCATAATTTCTTTCCCCAAAAATAACTTAAAAGAATCTCTTTACTAAAAGTAGAACTGTTAATACCATTTTATAGAGTAGATGGTTGTGTATTCAATTTGTTAGCCTAAGCCACATTATGGAAAGACCTTAGTATGAAGGATCCTCTTAATATACACATCTTCTGAGGGCTTGTCATTTAGCCAGTTTTGACCCTAATGGAAAGTGGAAACAGATAACGCGTACTATGGTCAGTAAGTGTAACTTGTACATTTGTCATGATGAATAACGCTGATCTGCAAAATACTAAGTCTTGGTATATGTCTCTAATCCCCTACATCAAATGAGTTGATTCCTTATCCTGATGGTTGTTACATTTAGTTTGAGTAGTTATGTTGAGGGTGTTTATAACTTAGGAGATGTAATTTTGCTCTAATTTGTCCTTTTAAAATGTTGAGTGGTTAGTAGGGAGATTTACTTTGTTATAATGCTGTTCTGTGGCTACTAAATGCTAATTGGATGACCACCTATAGGGTGGTAAGGTTCAAGCTTGGATGCTTCATAGCCCCGCTTTGAAATCTTTTTCCGATTGATCAGATCAATGTTTAGTGCGGAGTGAAACTGAGTTCATTTCTTAAGTAGAATTGAGTAAGTTGGTTTTCGTTAAATAATCTACTATATGCAAGGGGAAGGGGATGATCCCTTTATTACAAGCAAAAATAATTGACGGTTGGATAGAAAATCATTTGGCGAATGGCATTTATCAGTATACACTTCTCCCACGAGTAAAGGTGAAGGTCAACAATGTTGGTTTCGAATAAATTTTTCGCACGCCGAGAGGAATGAAAGAGAAACTTGAGACAAGTTATTTGAAATCTAACAGTCACAAAAATGTTCTATTCGAGAATACCAACTACCAAGGTGCTCCACATACTAGGTTATTTAAACTGGTCTCCAATTTTCTTTGTAGGCCTGGTAATGAAGGCAGAATTAAGCACCCTTCTGCAAGCATAAACACTCTAGTGATCTTCTGAACAAGTTAGTATAGACGTGGAAAAACATCATAGTAAATCCTCTAGTACGAGTCATCCTCCTCTTTAGCGCTTAACATAATTTGAATTAGAGTGAACTAAGGTTAGAAGGAAGGCACCAAGTTTTGGATCAACTTTTCTTTGATGTGTACTCTATTTAGCTTCTTCCTTTACATTGCAGGTGAAGATTGAGGAAGGACAAAAATTACAGGCTCAAAAATCCTTTTCGGTTTCACGAAGAGATGCGATGCTAGTTTTGGCTGCTCAGACTTTTAGTGCAATCACTTTCTGGTCAATAGAACCCGCGGAGGCTCGTATTAGTAGATCTGAAACCAAGAGGAAGATCTTGGAGAAGCTGGAGCAACTTAGGGAAAAAGCTGGGATTTCAAAGCCAAAAGATGACAGCGAGAAAATTCCATCTCCACAACCACCTTCAGGAAAGGATGGAAACCTTCAAGCTTCGTAGTCATCTCGGAGTTCCCCAAAGAACCCAGTTGGAAGTCTGGTGGAAGTACCCATCCTTTAAATTCCATTTCATGATCTTTCGAATGTGAGCCCTATGCCTTTTAATTTAAGATCGCTGTAATGTATTGTCATTTTCTAACCATGAAATAGAAGCATACACATTCATGGTTTCTGTTGGTTGAGTATCTATTAAGATGGGAAAATCCAGAGGTTTGGACTATTCATTCTTGTTGAACCAACTCTTAGAATTGTGATTCAGAGTCTGCCATGGCAATTAGGACATTATTCCAAGTCAAGAATGCACGTCCCACGCTTGATCCTCTACTAATATTGGTAGTAAGACTTTCAAAATAAATGTAAGCTAAGAACAATACCAAGATTTCAAGAATTTTGATAAATTTTGATGATTTTAATAATTAATACTTTGATTTGCCAATTGATATATTACATTAGGATAAACTTAGCAAGTAGATGTTGTACAAACACTTAGCCCTGTTGATTTCACCAATTTGAATTTTGTTACAGTAAAAAGTTCTCAAAAACAGTCATATTTAACTTTTTTGTTACAGTAAAAAGCTCTTACATAAAATTACATCTTAATTCGAATTAAAAACTCGAATCAGCAAATTAAACGGGCCCTAAACATTTCTTGTCTTAGCTTCTTGTAGTTTAATTTTGTAATTAAATAAATTAAAATTATTGGGGAAAGGCCACCGAACACAATATTGATCCACATTATTGTAGTTTAATTTTGTACTGAGTTTTTGGTATTTTCAATTTTAACCTTTTTATTTCCTCCTTTCAAATCAAGTTAAACTTGCAAGGTATGAGAGCTTTTTCAGGGCAGAGACTTCATGCAAAGATGCTTTTCTTCTTCCCTCCTCTTTTTTCAATCTCCAATTTTAAATTCGAAGTGATTGCTATTGTTTCCGTTCTTTTCGCATATTCGAGTTTTATTACAGTAAAAAGCTTTCAGAAATAGTCACATCTATTTTTTTTGCTACAGTAAAAAGCTCTCACACAATATCACATTTCAACTCGAATTAGCGAACCGAACAGGTAATCTCTCACAATTTGAAACGAAAGTTTAAGATTGGTTTAAAGTTTAAACAAGCAAATTCTTATTATATTTTTTAGAGTTCTTTCATATTTTTTGTTGTTTCGGTTCTTTTCGGATTTATGGTCTTGTTGTTTTATTTCCTATCATGTCTCGAAAAACAAAAGAAACTAAAATGGAAAAAGAAAAAAAAATGTTTAAAGGCAAAATAAAAAAATGATAAAAAAAAGATCAAAATGAATAAATAAATGTGTTTTAAGGCAAAAGGTAAAAAAAATAATAATAAAGGACTAAATAAGTTTTAGGACAAAAGTAATTAAAATAAAAAAATATAAAGTTTTAAGGAGAAAATAAAAAATAAAAAATGGTGAAAATAAAAAAATAATTAAGTTTTGGAAGAAAAAGAAAACAAATAAAGGGCTTGAAGAAAATGTGGGGGAAGTATCGACCAAAATGCCACCGTCCGTTTAATTTGAATAATAATAAAATAGTAGCTTATAATATATTCGTTTAGTTTGCGGCTTCAAATTGATATGGTTTAAATCTTTATGGTTTTAATTGAAAATTCTGAACTAATATGGTTTAACTATAATACAACTTAACATTTGAAAGTATAAAGTTTGAACAGTAAATAAAACATCGCGTCAAAAAGCAAGTGTTCGTGTAGTATGATAATATCTTTTTTTAATGAAATATATTATGATAATTGTGAGAAAATCATAAATAAAATTATGGTTCTATGTTCAAGTCCATGTGAATTTAGCGGGTGTTTTGAATTAAAAAAATTGATTTTAGATAAGTTCCAACATCACATTAGCCTCAAAACCAACTCAACCAAATCAAAATGCACATCTAAATTCCAGTTTGAAGTAGACTCATGGATTCAAACCCACGCGAACTTAGAACCAAACGCAGTAGTTAAATTATTGATAGGCAATACTCTAGCAAAGAATACGACAAGAAATTCCGAATATTTATCACACGAGTGATTGGCGTGATTATTTTTTAAATTTAGTAATTGAGGCTTTAAGTCTTATATTTTTTATTTAAATGTTTTTCTTTTCCATGTTGATAACAATATTGATGGATTAAATTTCTAAAATTTATTCATTGTCGTCTCGGATGATTCTTTTTTTTTCTATGAAAAGTCGCCTCATTGATATATGATAACCCAATACTCTAGCAAATAATGCGACTAGAAATTCTTAAACTTGGTTACACATTTCTCAATTGGAATACGCACATAACAACCTAAATAGTAACCAACACAATCAGTCACAAGCACTATAAATTAAAAACGACGTGTCGCAAAATTAAACTTAAAGGAAAAAAAAATCAGTTTGTCTTCTTGTCCATGTTGGCGATAAGTTTCCGCATCTGGAATCTCCAAAACAGAAAATAAGCCAACCCGAGTCCAACCAAAACGAATATCCAAACACTCTCTTCCTTGTTCTCCTTCTCCGATCTCACTTCCTCTATCCCAAACACCTCCCTATCCGAATTCCCCATAATGCCCTCCAAAACATGCCCATATAACACATACGCCCTCCCGTCGCCACCCACGGTCACCGAAGTCGGAAATCTCTCCTCATCAAGGGCAATTTCGTCATAAATTACCCCTTCCCCCCAGCTGTCGTGGCTCTTCAGCAACCAAAGCTTATTCGGCGAGACGACCAAAACGGCGCCGTCGCCGCGGACGGCGATCCCGTCGGCGAGCGGCAGGTCCTTGTTCAGGAGGACGAGCCTGGCGGCGCCGTCGCCCTCGCTGACCTTAAACATCTTCCCGGTGTTGCTCTGGACCACCAGGAGGTAACCCTTGCTGACGTAAGCGACGCCGTTGAGGCCGCAGAACGCGAATGGCGAGTCGCGATCGACGTCGTGGGCGGAGAACGCCGGTGATCGGGAGAAGATCGAGGCCTCTCCTTTGTCGTTCACCTTCCAGATGAGGTTCCCGGCGGAGTTCGTGACGTAGGCGTTTCCCTTGAAGTCGACGGCGACGTCGTTGGCGATCTGCCGGACGGTGTCGTTTTCGGCGCCGTGGAGGGGGGAGAGGAAGAGGCGGCGGCGCGTGCGAAGGTCGTAGGCGGCGAGGGCGTTGAAGTGAGGGAGGGGTTCCATGGCGTGGACAGCGGCAAGGAGGCGGTTGTTGAGGGAGTCGACGGCGATGCCGAGGATGGTGACGTTCTCAGGGAGGTCGGTGTCGGAGAGTAGGGTTTCGGCGACGCCGGCGTCGGAGACGGAGACGATTTTGCGGTCGGTTAGGGAGCCGACGAGAAAGTGCTGGGCCGAGGGGTCCCACGCGATGCCCTCCGGGTAAAGATTTGGGGATCGGAAGTTGATGACATGGGCCTTTCGGGCGTCGGTTCGGGCTGGTAGTGGGCCCAACAAGATGACGAGGACGAGGACGGCGGCGGAGAAGGATAAGGGGATTTGGGGAAGATTCGATGGGAATTGAGTCATGGTTGATGAGAGAGCGTGTGATTGATTGAAGAGAGTAAATTTGAGCTTTAAAGGGTTGTTTTTCTTGTAAAAGGATCCACTGATAAGGTTTTCTTGTCAAACAGGCTTTTGTTTCTGAATCGTTGAACCGGCGGAGCGTTTTTATTACCCAATCGTTTGTTTTTGTTTTTGCGTTTGACAGGCCTAGCTGGTACCTTTTTTTTTTTTTTTTTTTTTTAGAACCGAGCTGGTACGTTTTATATAATGAGAATGGGAGCAAAAATTAGGGATATATGGATTTATAAACCAGTTTCCTACCCAGTATGGACCTCATCTAGTAATTATTAATTATCCAATATATATATATATATATATATATATATGTATATGTATAAATATATGTTGAAGAGGATGGAGGAATAGAATATGAAAATTGCCAGTGCTGCTTTCTCAAGTAAGGAACATGTATAGATTAGCAAAATAATAATAATAATAATAATAATAATAAGCAACATGTATATTTTTTTCTTTTTTCATCTGTAGTTAAAGAATGAACAATGCAACGAGTCATTCTTATACTAATTTTTCACTATAGTGTGGTAACCAAAAGTTATTAAACCTTAATTATTAAAGCCTTTCAATTCTATAAGTAAAACGATTAATTTTCTGTGTTGGGATTTGTCATTTGAGCATCCTTTAGCCAAATCAGAAACTACTCTAGTGACTCCAAGATGCAAACTTTGAATTTCTATAGTGAACGAAATCATTAGAACACAATTGGGAAAAAAAAAAAAAGAAATTGAAAACGTTACCATGAAACTAAAGTATTGTAGTAAACATTGTATCAGGTGACAATAATTCTGAATATTTGAAATGTTATCTCTCTGCCTTAACTTTTTTATTCTTCGCCGAATCACCTGACAAAAAGGGAAGTGAAACGCCATCTCATTTTCATATAGAGCAGAACTACTGGTCATATACTTTCGACAAGGAAAGCTTTTTATGTGATTTAGGTGAAACGCCATCTCATTTTCATATAGAGCACAACTACTGGTCATATACTTTCGACAAGGAAAGCTTTTCGTGTGATTTGGAGGAAATGTTAGTCGAGGATACTTTTCATTGAATGTATGGATTGTTTGGTTGTTAGATTTATGTCATGATTTGAATCATAATCCGTGGTTCGTTATAGTATTTTCTCTCATAAAAAACATACGTAAATTAAAAATAATTTTAAATCATGATTCTGAATCCATCAACCAAACGTTCACTTCGTGTTTGTGAAGAGTCAATGAAAGCTGCAAAGCCACTCTTTATTCCTCTTGGAAAAGAGAAACTGTAACGCAATTTTCTCTTGCCTCTTTTTTTTTTTTTTTTTCTCTCCAATTTTTGTCTTAATTCATTTTAAGAACTTCTACTTCCCTTCAAGCATGGCTAGAGAAGATGTGGAGTGTGGAAGAAGAGAGTTTGGAGGCAACAATTGAGCGACTGAGAATTGGATTTCGTGGTTGATGCCTGTGTTCGTGGGTGCTAATGTTGTTGTTTTCTTAGTGGCCATGTCCCATGTGTGTCGACAACTACCGAGTAACAATCTTGGTTTTGAAGGAGATTGTGTTGCCAAGTTTCTTGGTAGGCTTTCGTTTCAGCCTCCTCTTTTCGGTCACTCCTTTTCTACGTCAGTTTTTCTTCTCCCTACTCGACTTTAGAATTATCAAGTTGTGAACTAATCCAATCATCTTCTTCCTTGCATTTTGAGTGTTTTGTGGGTAACTGGTTCATGAGCTATTCTCATATTTTCAATTGTCAATGATCAATATGAGCTGGTCATTGTTCGGAAATTTCTTGTTTTAACTTTTTCACATATATTATTTATTTATTTTTTTGCTAACAATGCTAAATTCTTGTTTTTTCACCAACATTTACAGGTTAGAAAAAATGGGAGCTCAAGACAGGTACAAGATTGTGCATGGGCATCAAGGATGGAGACTTATCACTTGAATCGGGTTGCATGCTGGTGTTATTCATTTGCTTGTAAACATGTCGAGCTTGCTCTTCATTGGGATCCGCCTTGAACGGCAATTTGGGTTTGGTAGTCAATTTCTCTGTCTTGAATCTAACACCTCTGTTTGCGGTAAAAAAAAAAAAATATATATATATATATTGAATGATGAAGTCTTAAAACGAGAAAAAAAATAGAGGAGAAAATAAAATTTTATGTTAGTCTAATTTTGTGTTGGCCTAAAAATAATAATAATAAAGAGTAAAAAATACCCATTTTAAAACGTGAAGTAATAATAAAAAGATTGTACAAAACGTGAAGAGTTCTTTAAAATAAAAAAAAAAGTACAAAACGTGAAATTCTTTTATATAAAAAAAGTGAGTGCAGGGAAAAAGAAAAAAACTTTTCCGAGAGCTTTTCATCTAAAAACGTGTGTGTGTGCAGAAGAAAAAATTTTCCGAAGACAGGTGTGTGTGTGCAGAGAAGTGAAAGAAAGAAAATAAAAAAAAAAGGTGCACGTGTGTGCAGGTGCGTGCGTGTGTGCAGAGAAGTGAAAGAAAGAAAGAAAAAAAAGGGTGCAGGTGAGACGTGAGAAGAAAGAAAGAAAGAGAAAAAAAAAACAAAAAAACAAAAAAAACAAAAGGTGTGCAGGTAAAAAAAAAGTGTGTAGGTGTGCAGTGACAGTGATGTGAGAGAAAGAAAAATATACATCTTAAAGTGATATTTTAAAATAATAAGATAAATATATATTTTGATATTTTAGTTTTTTTTTAATATTAACAGTTTTAGTTTTTTGTGTTACAGTGCATTTAAATTAAGTTTTATATACACTTTAAAGTATGAGATTGTGATTTACTTCTTGACACTTTCTACAAGGATAAATCTTATATACACCTTATAGTGTGAGATTTCTTATTTGTAATGTTCTTAATAAATTATGAATGCACTCATGGTGTGTGGTTTCTTATTCTTATCACAATCCTATGATTATCACTAAGATTTGAATTTTTTTTAAAGATCTATATAAGTCAAATGTGATTTTAAAAAAATCAAGGATTAAAAGTTTTCCAAATTATTTGTTAAGATTGTTTTGAGTGCAATTTGAGTAAAAAATTCATACGAATTATATTTTAAAAATCGGTATATGAGAAATTATGTGCATATAATTTATATAAAAATATTCATATGAATCGCACTATACCCATCAAAAAATAATTAAAGAATGAAGATTAAAAAAAATGAGTAAATACTTAAGCTGATAGTTTTACACACAAATCGAGAATTGATAGAAATTGATGTTCACGTACACGTATATATATCAAAAGGTTGCCTGCTTTGCAATGGCTGTGGTTTTTGCAGCGTAATGATTTATATATATATATAGGTTCTTTAAAAAAAAAAAAAAAAGTACAAAACGTGAAATTCTTTTATATAAAAAAAGTGAGTGCAGAGGAAAAGAAAAAAACTTTTCCGAGAGCTTTCCATCTAAAAACGTGTGTGTGTGCAGAAGAAAAAATTTTCCGAAGAGAGGTGTGTGTGTGCAGAGAAGTGAAAGAAAGAAAATAAAAAAAAAAATGGTGCACGTGTGTGCAGGTGCGTGTGTGCAGAGAAGTGAAAGAAAGAAAGAAAAAAAAGGGTGCAGGTGAGACGTGAGAAGAAAGAAAGAAAGAGAAAAAAAAAAACAAAAGGTGTGCAGGTAAAAAAAAAGAGTGTAGGTGTGCAGTGACAGTGACGTGAGAGAAAGAAAAATATACATCTTAAAGTGATATTTTAAAATAATAAAGTAAATATATATTTTGATATTTTAGTTTTTTTTTAATATTAACAGTTTTAATTTTTTGTATTACAGTGCATTTAAATTAAGTTTTATATACACTTTAAAGTATGAGATTGTGATTTACTCCTTGACACTTTCTACAAGGATAAATCTTATATACACCTTATAGTGTGAGATTTCTTATTTGTAATGTTCGTAATAAATTATGAATGCACTCATGGTGTGTGGTTTCTTATTCTTATCACAATTCTATGATTATCACTAAGACTTGAATTTTTTTTAGAGATCTATATAAGTCAAATGTGATTTTAAAAAAATCAAGGATTAAAAGTTTTCCAAATTATTTGTTAAGATTGTTTTGAGTGCAATTTGAGTAAAAAATTCATACGAATTATACTTTAAAAATTAACATATAAGAAATTATGTGCATATAATTTATATGAAAATATTCATATAAATCACACTATACCCATTAAAAAATAATTAAAAAATGAGTAAATACTTAGGCTGATAGTTTTACATACAAATCGAGAATTGATAGAAATTGATGTTCACGTACACGTATATATATCAAAAGGTTGCCTACTTTGCAATGGCTGTGGTTTTTGCAGCGTAATGATTTATATATATATATATATATACATGAAAAAAAAAAAAGAAAACAAGCGTCACCTGTTATCTTTACAGTGCACCAAACGGCACACACACATATATATAAAAGCCATGGGTGTGTGAGATAAAAAGCCGTGGGTGTCAGCTGTTGGTGTGTGTGTGTGAGACATTCAGCCGTGGGTGTGTGTGTCTTGCTGTGCTGTGTGAGATATGAAGCTATATATATATATATATATATTTGTCAACCACGTGAAGCAAAAAAGGATTTCAATTCTTTTTTAGATTAGAAGATCAGTCAAAACAAATCAAATTATAACAAATTTAATTCAAATGGTAGATTTGATTTTAAATTTTAAAATTCAAAAAAAAAGGAGAAAGACAAAAATTTCAATGAAATTCGGAATATTAAATACCTAAAAATTCAAAGTGCACAAATTGAGCTCCTTTATTGCTCCTTAGTTCAAAAAAATGAGCTCATTGTCTCATAAAATCATATGGTGATTAAATACAATTTTCAAATCTCAAATTCAAAAAAAAAAATCTCTCAACACCAAATTTAAAAAGGATCCTTTTAATTCCCTATAAAGTCATATACCGGGAAATTATCTAAATATAACTCTCAAATCTAAATTCTAAAGTAAAATTCTAAATCGAATTTTAAAATATATTTGAATTCCTCCTATGGTCATATATCGGGGAATTCTCCAAAATCCAAATTTAAATTTAAGAACTACGATTGACTTGATTCCCTATCGGATACGTAAGCAACCTAAAATTTAGGTGCAGTTTTAAGACCAAATTCAATCCTAAAAATCCTCATAAAGGACAAAGTCAAAACAAAACTAAATCAAACTTCAAAGTGCGTAAATTCCTCATAAGGTCATACACCAAAGAATTATCTAAAATTTTTAAACCTAAAATTCGAACTACAA